AAGAGCCAAACGAAGACCACACTCTTCCTCAAGAGCATGGGAAAGATCTGAAATCTCATCGGCATAGTCACGACTATGCCCCTCCATCTTGGAGATGGTATCTTCATGAGACTCGATCACGTCATTGGCTTCACCAAGTTTTTCCAAGAGAGCAACAAAATGCTTCTTGGATTTACCCTTGAGTTTACCCATAAAGGACTCAAACTCATTTTCTTCCACATTAGATCCCTCACATTCGTCAATGCAATCCGTCAAGGAAGGATTATTAATGATGGTAGTTTTGATGTTGGGAGTTACCTAGTTGGTGGCTTTAGCCATGAGGCACTTGGCGGTGATGTTCTCATTGGGTGAGTCGAAGAGAGATATTCGTGGAGTTTTTGCAATGGCAACAGAGGGCATGGCAACCGACTCACCATCTTCATCATCATCGTCGTCCTCATGGTACTCTTCTTGAACCACCAATGCCTTGTGAGGGGTTTTCTTGATAAAGTTGCTCTTGTTGGGGAAGGACTTGGCTTTGTCCTTTCGAATGAGCTTGCCACCATTGTCTTCCCTCTTCTCATACGGGCACTCCGCAACAAAATGACTCACATTGCCACAGTTGTAGCAAGTCCTTACACATTGCTTGCTCTTCGTGCCACTTGCGTTCTTTTTGTTAAAGTTTGGCCTTGAGTTTTTCTTGATCCAAAATTGCCTTGAAGCAAGTGCCATGTGTTCATGATATGCATACTTTGTATCTTCGGGATTGCCCTCCTCTTCTTCCTCTTCTTCTTCTTCAACGCAGAGCTTGGCCTTCAATGCAAGGTTGGGCTTCTTTGCCCTTTGAGAACGAAGCGCTGCATTGTCGGCGGTCTTGTCCAAAATGTTCATGGCCACAAACTCATCCAACACTTCGCTTGAGGTCAAAGTGTGGAAGTCCGGACTTTGACGAATGACGGAGGACATGGCCTTGTGGTAGGGCATCATTGCCTTGAGGAATTTGCGCTTGATCCAATTGTCATCCGTGTCCTTGCTCCCGTGATCTCGGAGTGAGACCGCGAGTTTGGTTACTCTCCGATAAAGCTCACGAGGTTCTTCATCTTCTTTCATTGCAAACTCATCGGTTTCATCTTGCACCACTTCATAGTTGGAACATTGAATGCTTGCGCTTCCCCGGTAGAGCGAGACAACACAAAGCCATGCGTCTTTGGCCAAGGCGAAGGGCCGAAGGTGAGGTAGATCTTCGGGTGGAATTGCATCTTGAATGCTGAAGAGAGCATTCTCATTGAATTGATTATTTGTGGCTTCTCGAGGAGTGGAGTTGCTTGGATCATGCGGATGGAAACCTTCTTCAATGATTCTCCAAAGATTAGTGTTCACATGATTTAAATGACGCTTAAAGCGGTAAACCCAAGAATCAAAGTCCTCATTTTTCACAATCTTAGGAGGAGGACCGGCATGATTCAAATGAGTGGAAGGAACCGGTCCACCATAAACAAGTGGTGGTTCCACATGAGAAAAGATGTCGGTGCCATTTTTACCACTAGAAGAAGGAGCCTTTTCACTACTAGCTTCCCCCTTGTCGGAGATAGCATCCGTCACCTTGTCAGTGGGATCACTCACTTTCAACGGTGCGGTGGATAGTTTAAGCCCTTCAAGGAATTTAGTAAACATGCTTTCAACCTCGGTCATCATGGAGGTTTTCAATGTCTCCAAGGCCACATTTAACTCCTCACGAGAGACCGAGGTTCCCCCATCCCCCGTAGATGAGATCGGATTCACACCGGAGTGTTCCTCCACACCGTCTATGGTATCAACCATACTCTTCGGGCGGCTAAGTCCTTAATAAAGAGACGAGGCTCTGATACCAATTGAAAGGAACGATATAGTTGACTAGAGGGGGGGGGTGAATAGGCAACTAACAATTTTTAGCTTTTCTTTACCAAATTAAACTTTGCATCAAAGTAGGTTGTCTAGATATGCAACTAGGTGAGCAACCTATATGATGCAACACACACAAGCACACAAGCAAGCAAGGAAAGTAACACAAGTAAGCTTGCAAAAGTAAAGGGACGAGATGACCAAAAGTGGAGTCGGTGAAGACGAGGATGTGTTACCGAAGTTCCTTCCTTTTGAGGGAAAGTACGTCTCCGTTGGAGCGGTGTGGAGGCACAATGCTCCCCAAGAAGCCACTAGCGCCACCGTATTCTCCTCACGCCCTCACACAATGCGAGATGGCATGATTCCACTATTGGTGCCCTTGAAGGCGGCGACCGAACCTTTACAAACAAGGTTGGGGCTCTCTCCAAAACTTAATTGGAGGCTCCCAACGAAACCACGAAGCTTCACCACAATGGAATATGGCTCCGAGGTGACCTCAACCGTCTAGGGTGCTCAAACACCCAAGAGTAACAAAATCCACACAAGAAAGTATGGGGGAAGCAAATATCCTTTGGTGGAAGTGTAGATCTAGGTCTCCTCCTTCAATCCCTAGCAAGTCAACAAGTTTGAGTGGCTAGAGAGAGAGATCGGGCAAGAGAGCTTGAGGTGCATTAATGGTGGAGTGAGAGAGGTCAAAAGGTGAGAGTGGTAGGTGGGAGAAGCATCCTTATATAGCAACCCTAAATTCCAGCCGTTAATGCGTTTTTTGCACTGCAGCGGTACAACCGGTCCTTGTCCCGGTACAACCGGAACTCACGGTGTATCTGCAGAACCCTACCAGGCGGTACAACCAGGCCAACAGGCAGTAATACCGGTTAAGAAAATAACCGGACTAACTGCCTAGCCACCGCACAACTACCGCATCAAAACAGAAGCTTGACCGGTACTTGGGCGGTGCATGGCCGGAACAACCGCATGGCCTTGAGCTCTTGGGCGGCTAAGTTCTGAGCGGAAGAACCGCTCAGACCACTGGTGGTACCGGTCATGGAGGAACGACCGGACCAACTGGGCCACTACCTCCCGAGAACCGCATCAAACCAGAGCCTTGAGCGGTACTTGGGCGGTGCATGGCCGGAACCACCACCCTAGCTTTTGCAGAGCATGGTGGCGGTACCACCGCCCGGAAGCAGCGGTATAACCGCTCGATCAAAGCTGGTGAGCGTCAAGACCCAGCGGTACAACCGCTCCAGAGAGCGGTACAATCGGCGGGAGGTAACAGTGAGGAGAAGAAGATAAGGGAAACTCTCTCTCTCACAACTGAGAAGGACAAAGGAGGGGTGAGGAAGGTATACATGAATGGATTCCCCCAGTTCTTTCCAATGAGGATTCCCTCTTGATAGTACGGGTTCCCTACGACCAAAGAGATAAAAAGCATAGAGGACACGTCTTCGATCTTTTCCTATGAGAGAGAATAGCTTTCCGATGTAGGCCTAAGCATCGAGAACCTGAAACATTTAGCACAAGATTAGACCAACAAAGGGTTGTCATCATCGTCCAAAACATAAAGTAGGGAAATGCCCTTTCACCCCGTAGGACCAGCGCACCAGAACAGCAACCGTCGCTGATGAAGAATAACGTAGATTGAAAGGATCCAACATGAAGACACACAAACATAGACAAACCACAACCAGATCCGAGCAAATCCACCGAGGATAGATCCGCCGGAGACACACCTCCACACGCCCACCAACGATGCTAGACGCATCACCGGAACGGGGACTAGGCGGGGAGACCTTTATTCCATCTTCAGGGAGCCGCCGCCGTCTCGTTTCCTGAGTAGGACACAAACCCTAACAAATCTTGAAGGAACCACTAACAACGGAGCCCTCCCGCCGGCCCTTGTTAGGATCCACCGCGCCCCCATGGCCATAGGGCCACCGGAGACGAGGCGGACCTGCAGCGGAGCCGGCAAGAGGCACGAACCCTATCTTTTTTTGGAAGAGGAGGCGGCGACCGGAAAGACCAACGTATACAGAGGATAATGTACTCACACTCTTAATCTCCTCATTTACTTTGTCCTTCTGATCTACACAACGGTCCTTTGATTCGAGATAAGTTGTACATGAAGAAGATGCATCATGTTCTGATTCCATTCAGGTGATATGTTCATTCGGCGAAGACAATCCGCGATGATCTGTTGATACTCGACATGCCAAAGTCCCAACTCAGCATCCCTGATGGCTAGTGTTGGCGACGTTCGGATGTTAGATAGAAAATCAACATCGTCGGCGCAATCAACATTGAAGCTCGGTGTGGAAGAGGAGGAGTTGGTGCAACTCGGTCCCATCTATCCTTCACGGAAGCTTGGAGTAAACCCTTCGATGGGGTCACTGATCTAGTTATTGCTAAAGTCATGGCACTTGGAGAAGGCGTTATTTTTGCACAACTATGAGGCTTCTCGCACGTGATCTAGTTATTGCCAAAGTCATGGCACTTCGAAAAGGCGTTATTTTTGCACAACTATGAGGCTTCTCGCACGTGGTGATGAAAGTGGATTGCTTAGAGGTTGTTAACCTTTGATCTTCGCGTTATAATTCTTGATCAATTGTGGCATCTATCTTAGATGAAATAGAGGGAAAATCAGCAAGTTTTAGTTTTTCTGTTAGACATGTCCCAAGGATGGTAACAGTGTGGCGGAACTTTGTGCTAAGCAGGCACGTTCCTTGTTGGTTTCCTGGCCACACGAACGTTCATCCTTTCTTATTACAGCTTCAGGGCTAATTGTAATCGAATGTAATTACCGATGAAGCTCCCCAAATTCTCGGCAAAAAAATCCCCAGAAAAAAAAGAACGAGGGTGAGTCCCACCGGCCAGATATAGCAAACCCAAAATGAAAAAACACACTCGTCATGCACCTCCTATGTTTCACTGGTATATCCCGCAGAATCTTGCGTACACCACACACATCCATCTAATATTGTCGAGCTAATCAAGCGTAGTGCATACTGTAATAATCACCCCACCGATCGATCAAAACCACCGAAGAATCGAAGTGCTCTGGCTAGCCGCACTCCGATCAGTTCATCGCACGAGTAGCTACTACGTACGGAAAGTATGCTCCATGGCCCCACGCGCGCCGGTCAATACGGGGAGGAGGCCCCCGCCGGGAGCCGGGAACCGGTGGCGAGGAAGCGGACGAGCCGGAACCCCGTCGCGAGCGCCGCCAGCGCCAGGAAAGCGAACGCCGCGAACCCGAGCCCCACGGCGATGTCGCCCTGCAGGCACGCCGTGCTGCTGATATTCCGCTCCTGGCCTCCGCCGCACAACGCCGCTTCCCGCGCCGCCGCCGCCGCCGCTGCCAGCGCCATGTACCCGAAACCCTGCAGCGCACGCACACACGATCGAATGAACAACTCCGAAATTAGTTAACCAACTCCATGTGTGTGATCGATCGACCAGATGCAACTTGCGTGTAATTACAGCAAGTAGGCGCTGGTTAATTGGTTACCTGGTCGTGGCCGAAGTCGAACCAGAGCTGCAAGGCCTCCGGGAGCAGCGTGGCGCCCTTGGCCACCTCCCACGCCGCCGCGGCGACCTCGAACACCGAGTATACCGCCACGATCGCGTTCGCCGCCAGCAGGAACCTGAACGGCGCCAGCCGCAGCACGGCGCCGTCCGTCGCCGCGAACACCGCCGCCGCGAGGCTAAAGCACAGCGCCGCCACCCGCAGCACCAGGAGGAGCGTCCCCAGCCGCCTCGACTCCTTCCTCCGTCCCCCCGCCGCCGCCTGATCCCCGTTACGCAGCGGCGACGCCATCCGAACACCCTCAGCTCAGCTCATCCGACGGTGACTGGGCGTCCTGAGCTGGGCACGTAGCCTCCTCCCGGCTTTATAGACGGCCTGCGATCACGGGAGAGGCGAGCCTTAGGCGCCGACGTGGCGGAGCGTGGCGGAGCGTGGGACCCACACGGCAGGCTCGGATGAGCCAAAGGTTGTGTAAAGCCGAGCTGCCATGGCCAGGTGTGGCGAGGTGTTAGGTGTGGACATGTGAGTGAATTAATGGCGCCATCAATGTGGACTGTTCGGAGCTTGTGATGCTATCTAATTTTCCACTTGAGCACCGCCACACGTACGAACGATCCAACAAATTCCCTCTGGTCCCATTTTCGGACACGGATTCTTCTTCACTTTCCATAGCAAAACGAGCTGGTTTGCCTGACGTTCATGCCGAAATCCCGTGAAACTTCTGGGCTGTAAAATTATGGAGATTGTTGATAAGCACTCTTAGAAGCATGTTGTATCCTAAAGCACACAAATAAAGACAACATGCATGAAATTGAGATACTTTCAGGGATGTAAACCGGGTCCTGTTTAAATCCCGTTTAAGCTCACTTATGTCTAGCAGTTCAATAAAGTTTATTCTCTGTGAAAAATGAACTATCAAATTAGCAAAAACTAACTAAATGAAAGTTGCGGGTGCCGTTTATTTGCCCTTTAAATCACTAGATACTTCCACCGATTCATACTAATTGTCGCTGAGTTAGTACGTGTTATTATTTCCTAGATTCTTCTACAGGAGCCAAAAAAAAAACCTTTCGATGCTCTCCACGTACTTGAGGAGAGAAGAAGAGAGAATGTGCATGTAATACATGAAAATATCTACTAGTGCGCTGTTTGAGAATTCATGATTCTATAAACATGAAAATGAAAAAAAAGATTTGGATGTCATGGCGTCCTGGAAATCAAAGCACATGAATTTGCAGCCATGACACATTAGATGATCTTCCCCAAAAATATATTTAGAAGGTGCATGCAAAGACAGGAAAAAATAATATGGCCCTAAGAGCATCTCTCTGAAAATCCCTAAAACGGGATACCCTAAAACAATTGTAGGGTCAACGTCTAACAACTTTTAGGGATTATAGTGTGCTTCGCTCTACCAGAATCCCGAAATCACAGTCCTTTCTTTTCTTTTTCTTCAATTCCGGGGGCAACTTATATAGCATCAACAACACCTTAGGAGTGATCGTGCGATCGGGTATGGGCTATTTGATGGAAATCTGATGGTACAAATCACGTGAGGTGAAGAGGTGGTAGACATTTTAACAAGCCACCTCAACATAAATGAATATTGCACGCTTAGCCCCCCTTGTCGTGGCCCCCTACTTCCAGGCCCAACCTCTTATCTCTCTTTCACGTGCACCAACATGGGCTGTCGGAAAGCACCCGCCTATTCTTCCAATGCGCGCCACTGGCCTAGCCAAATAAGCTGCACCGAGCCTCACCGGGCTAGAGCCAGCTTTCCGAAGTCTCACTTCTTGTAGATCTGTCGGCTCCAAGTTGCGTTGCTTCCGTCTCCAGCCAATTCAGATCCCACATCATCTTATCGCACTCCCCCACTGTAACAGTGTCAGGTCTTCCTCCAAGCTACCATGAAGTCCCTGGCACATGCCTCCATTGGATATGGCGGCCCGAGCACCTTGGCACCAAATTCGTCTACTACTCCACTTGGTGCTCCTCACTCGTTAGCTAGTTCATTTTGTTCCACATCATGTTCCCTTTGTTCATTAATGTTAGCGTGAGAACCTTGCCTTTTTTACACGTTATCAAGTGATACTTTCTTATCTATACATGTCCTAACGAATTTGTAGGCAACAAATCTTCCTTTGGTGCACTGGTCTCATAAAATCTTCTTCTCTTTTGTACATATCTTGTGGATCTGTGTAGGAAGAGCATTTGATTTTTGTTGTCCAGTACAGCCTTATGTACAAAATATAGTTTGCAAACAAGAATTAACTAATGTACCAAAAGTGGAGATGAATGAAATGTCTCATTTTTGTTGTTGTTCATTTTGCTCCAATGAATTATACCAAGGAAAAAGTAATGATGTACCATAAGGATTTGTGTCGGTGTACCAAATCTACTTATTCCATTACACAATTTGAAATTAAAATTTGTTCCCAAATCTACATATTCTGAACATAAAAAGAAATCTACATAATGGTTTTAGTACATTCATATTTTATACAATTTTGTAATTTATTTTCTAAATATGTTTTTATAAGGTATACACAACATTAGTCATAAAACATAATATAATTTGTAGAAGTTTTAAACAAGGCCAAATGGAGAGTGATGATAAGAGTACTAAATTTTCAAATGACAAGAGTTCTAATGTGAGATATACTATCAGTCCCACCAAGGGAGGCGGAACTGTGTGTATTTCAGGGGGAGGGGGCACTTGAAGAATTTTGCAGTGCTTGGATTGAAGAAATTGGAGTCATTTGCCCTCCTCCACTAGCCACCAATGCTTGATTTGCACCATTTATATTCTCTCTGTTCATATGAATCCATGCAAACCATTTCCACATTACCACTGTGACCTTCTCCAAAACACTAAACCCAAGTAAACCGGTTCTATTGCATTTTTTGTTGTTGAAGTAGTTGTGTTCTCTCCCATTGCATTGGCAATGCACATACATAAATGCCTTCCCATATGGAAGTGTCTCCTAACTTGATAAACGACATGCTTTTGCTTGTTGCTCTCATCCATCTCTATAGGCAAAAGTGTCGCCATGTCCAAATCTTCATCACCATCATGAAAGTCATCGACATCCTCCTCTAACAGTGAATGTTCAAAATACTCCTATTTAAGCAAATGGCATTGAACATCATCAAATTTGCAATCTAATTCATGTTGTTTCAATTATGAGAGAGAGAGAGAGAATTGAGCGTGAGATTTTTACAACAACCTTTTCGGTGGTGGTGGCATTGTCTAGCACAAACATTGTGGGGAGGACGGAGGCACGACTACCGAACTTTGGCAGTGAAAAGCAAGTCTACGCTTGGGAAAATGCAGGGAAGTGCTCGGGTGCATGGAGGAGGGCAACAGTTACGTGTGTGGCTCTGCCCGAGCAACATGGCTAAGGGCTCGTGACTCAGATGGAGCTCCTCTGGGAGGAGCTCATGTTGCTGCGGTGGAGCTAGCTATGCCGACACACTCGAGCTCGGGGAGGCGGTAAAGAGCAGGGGGAGGCGCATGATAACGGTGCTGGCCACATGGGAAGGGGTGGGGATGATTCTGCGGTAGCAGGGAGAGGGGCAATGGTAGGTGTAGCAGGGCTTGAGGGTGGCCGATGACGGTCGGAGGGCACAGAGGCACGATTGCTCGCCACATGTAGTCAGAGGATCTTCTTTTCCTCCCACAAAGGCTGGGAAATATACACAAATCACATTGGGGTGTCTTTTACCCTATAGTTTGGATCAGAAGACGGCGGTGTTCTTATCAAACCTAAACATTATATGATATGATCTTAGATAGAGAATCTGCTAGGATGCGCTTAAAAAATTGGCAGTGTTATACAGATGGTAATGGATAATGATTCTGCTAGACATGCTCTAACCTTTTACTACCAGGTATCTTAGGAAGTATAAGTGTAGAAAGTGAACCATTGTAAATTTTGGCGAGCTCATTCCTTCGAGCTCATTCCTTTAAGAGCATGACTAATGTATAGCAACAGTTGGCTATAGCATATTGATATGTTATCTATAAGCAATGTAATAACCAACATGTATAGCTAATGTAGTAGCCAATGTACTAGTAGTTTTTTTAGAAAAGGAGGACGACCCCCGGCCTCTGCATCTGGACGATGCATACAACCACTTTATTAATTATTGACACAAGACCGTACAGAGTCATACAACAATAAGACCAAAGCCACCAAACTAAGCAACAACTGTCGCTATCCCTATCCAGTTGATGTAGGGGCGCTGAAAGTCTGGGCCTAATACCAAACAGACCACGCAGCCAAACCTAAACATCTAAAGGCTTGAGGTCCCACCCAGTACGCCTGCCGGGTATGGGCACCCACCAGTCCGGCGTGCTTCTCAACCAGGACCCCTGCCGGGTATGAGGCCACCGCAGCCACCTGCCACGAATTCATCTTCAGAGCTGTACTGCTGCATCAACCTTGGCCGGTCCAACTGCCTCCGACGCCACCATGACGCCAGGCAGCGTCACCCTTCTGCGCGAGTCCATCTCCGCTCATCATGCGTCGAGTCTCCACTGCGCCACGCCGCCGAGATCCGCCGTCATCAATGAAGCAGATGAAACACCGCTCCTCCTCTTGTCCCCTCCAACCAGCACTCGCTCCAAAACGATGCCGCCATGAGGGAGAACGATACCGATAGCATCACCGTCGTCCGATCCGGTAGACCCAGATCTAGGGTTTCCCCCGGAACTTCCCGATCAGGTTGATGAGACCTGCAACGACGATGCCTCCAGAAGGAAACGACGTCTGAGACGCCGCCATCATCCGCCAAGACCACAGTCTCGCGCGATTTTCATCGGAAGCCATGTCTTCCCGACCTCGTGGCTGGCTGGAACCGAATGGAACCTCGCCACGAAGACATATGTTGCCGTCGGTACTCCGGCGAAGATCCGGCATCTCCTCACCGGTCCCTCCACACGCCGCCGGTCGGCAAAAGGCCTCCCCGCAACGGATCCAAACGGAGCGTTGGATCCGCAGTAGTCGTCGTCACCATCATGAGCAGGACAGCCCACCTCGCCGGATGGGGTACTGCCACCACCGCCGTCCATGCAGGGCCGCCGCTCCACCGACGATGGTGCTCGGGCCCCCGCTGCACAGCCCGGATACTCCGTCCTAGCCGCCGCCATTGGATCTCATGAGAAGGGCCGCCCCGCCGCGTCAGATGGGATCCGCCGCCTCCCCCCGCCCAGGACCTTTGGCACCGGGCCCGCCGCCACCGCGGCCCACGCCAGCAGCAGCGGCGGCAAGAGGGGGTGGAGGGAGAGGTGCTGGCGGCGCTAGGGTTGGGGCCCCTGGCGTCGCCCGGGGGGAGGCGACGCGAGGGGTGCGAGGGGATGTGTTACGAGAAAGTACAACTTTATTATCAAATGACTCATCTTACATTCTCACAATGTTTCTTGGAACCCGTGATACAGCCGGTTGTAACCCGTGTTTCTTCTCTCTCCTCTTCTCTATCCTCCAACTCAGTAAAATACAATATTTAAAGTCTTATAGCCTGTCTGCTTCACCTTACTATACTTGCTCTAATTTGCAGCCATTTCGCCATGCCTTTTTTTATTGAAAATACATGATTCTAAAAAATGTCATGAATTAGCTTCTAGGAAATCAAAGCACAAGAATTTGCAGCCAGAACTCATCAGATACTCTGTAGTAGTAGTAGTTAGCTACGAGAAAGTACTACTTTATTATCAAATGACTCATCTTACATTCTCACAAAGTTTCTTGGAACCCGTGATACAGCCGGTTGTAACCCGTGTTTCTTCTCTCTCCTCTTCTCTATCCTCCAACTGAGTAAAATATAATATTTAAAGTCTTATAGCCCGTCTGCGTCACCTTACTATACTTGCTCTAATTTGCAGCCATTTCACATGCCTTTTTTTTGAAAATACATGATTCTAAAAAATGTCATGAATTAGCTTCTAGGAAATCAAAGCACAAGAATTTGCAGCCAGAACTCATCAGATACTCTGCAGAAATTCTAGAATTTTTTTTCCAGTAAACTTCTAGAGCTCTATTTCAGAAGATCATGTAATGCAGTAGAACCGTACAGTGTCGCGCGCGCATGCATGCCTGTCGTCGACGGTTTGAGGCGGAGCTACCACCTGCCGATCACGGCCAACGATGGCCCCTTCATTTATCTTTAGCTTCTACACGTCTCAGTTTTTCCTACTGCAATCATCGTCACCCCAACCCCATAATACTCATCGCCCGTCGACGAAACGTCAGTGCGACTGCCATCTCAGCGCGTACGGCGCACACGTCGCCACCTACGTACCTAACAATCGAATGTTGAATGAAGGAAATAAAACCAGCGTACGGGACTAAGGACAGGCGTCAATGCGTGAGAAGGACGTTGCATGGCTTGACACACCAAGATCATGGGCCATGACGACGTGACAGCGCCTACTAATTAAATTTAAAGCCTAATCCACCGCAATTGCTGCATGCCGCCCATGTCCGCCCCGTCCCCCGTATGATTGGAGTCGGTACGTGTGATCGGAATGGCGCGCCAGAGCTGCGGCGTGATCCCCGCGAACTCGCGTGTGAGCTAATCAGCTAAAGCAGCAGCCGATCGAGTGCCGTGGGCCGTGGCATAATTGAAAGAGAAAATACCTAAACTCACAGCAATGTCAAGTCATCCGGTGGAGCGTCACAAAGACGCAAAAGGTTACGTGTGTGAAAGGTGCTAGCAAGTCGTGTTGCTAGCCTTTTCTTTCATGTCGTTAAGCTAGTCGAGTGCCAAAGCCGCTGGTGCGCCCACATGGTTGGAGTGTGAACTCAGATACGTTGCGGACTAGCCTCGATGCACACCAACAAAGAAAGCTCGATTGGATTGGCTGGCCCACTGCTCTGACGGCCCGCTTGACCTGGAGGCCACGTCCAGGGCCCAGCTATAAACGCGTGAGGACTCCGCCCCTAAACGAAGAAACAACACGTACATTCTAATCACCGTCCCCTCGTTTTTTTAACACAATAGACACAAAAGCTTATACATACATCCATACACTCATTCTTATGAACACACACATCCTATCTCTATGAACACCTTTGAAAGACTGAGCCGACATATCATTTTAAAATTTACGAAGTCATTATAGGCGCCTCGTTGTCGACGCTCCTCCCACTGAAAGCGCATCGCTAGAAATTTTGAAATAAATTCAGAAATAATGCAAGCATTAGGACTTGAACCCTGATGGGCTGGGGATATCACTATTACTCTAACCATCCAACCACATGTTGGTTTGCCACCGCCCCCTCGTTTTGAACACAGAATATTATGAAGGTAATATTTTCAATCGCCCAAGGGGGAGTATAAAGCAATTTGAAGCCGGTTGGCTCAAAGAAGAGACAATGTTTGAGATTGTACGTACAACATAGGGGAAAGCAAAGGTTTTGAGTATTGGGCTAACTCTTGCTGAACGTACAAGGGCGGTGAAGGCGGACTTGCATATCTGGGACCGTGACATTCTGAAGGGACCAAAAAAAGAATTAACAAATTGAAAAAAAGAGTTAGAGAAGTTACGAAGGGGACTTATGAATGCGGATTCACAAGCACAGCAGAAGGAGATTTTTGTCCTTATTGAGAAAAAAATTGAAACAAGAGGAGATTTACTGGATACAACATGGTCGTGCAAATTGGTTATTGCATGGTGACTGTAACACTTCTTTCTTCCATAACGCGGCGACGACAGAAAGAAGAAAAACCAAATTAAAAAATTGCTTCATGATAATGGTGTTTGGTTACAAGGAACGAAGATGAAGGAATACATTCTGGGGTATTTTTCAAAACTTTTCACCTTAGAAGTAACCCAACCAAATCAGGAGGTTCTATCTCTTGTCCAAAAAATAACAGAAGAAATGAATAATGCTCTTCTCGCCCCGTATACGGCCGAGGAGGTTCAACAGGCCCTTTTCGACATTGGAGATTTAAAAGCGCCGGGTCCAGATGGCCTCCATGCTATTTTTTTTATAAAAGATTCTGGTATATGTTGGGGGATGATTTGACTGAAGAGGTTCTCCAGGTCGTGAATACATGCTCTATACCGGAGGGGTGGAATGATACTGCAATTGTAATGATCCCTAAGGTTAATTCTCTAAAAAAGGTAACTCAGTTTAGACCAATTGTCTGGTGCAATGTGGTGTATAAGGTTATTTAAAAAATAATTGCTTCCCGTTTGAATATAATCCTATCAGATATTATCAGCCCAACTCAGAGCGCTTTTGTTCCTGGAAGAATGATTACTGACAATATTTTAGTGGCACATGAATGCTTTCATACAATAAAGAGAAAAGGGCTGGCAAAGAGGGTTTGTGTGCTATCAAACTAGACATGCATAAGGCATATGATCGAGTGGAGTGGTCTTTTTTGAAGGAAATTATGTTGAAGTTGGGATTTCAAGAAAACTAGGTGAATTTAGTTATGCAATGTGCTTCCTCTTTGAAGTACCGGGTTCGTTTTAATGCTGAAGAAACTAAGAGTTTTGAACCTACTAGAGAACTAAGGCAGGGAGATCCTCTCTCTCCCCCTACTTATTCTTGTTATGCACAGAAGGCCTGGCCACCCTTTTAACTAATGCGGAGGAGAATGCAAATATTTCTGGAATAAAGGTAAGCAGAGACGCCCACCAATTTCTAATCTTCTCTTTGCTGATGATTCGTTGATTCTTATTGTGCCTCATCGGGGCAGATGGTGACTGTTGAAAAATCTAGTATATTTTTTAGTCCCAATATAAAAGTGGAAGACAAGGCGCAAATTTGTATAATTATGAATATTATGACTGAAGCTCTCAACGATAAGTATTTGGGTTTGCCTGCAAATGTGGGTATGGACAAAAGTGATTGTTTTCAATTCCTGATTGATAGAATTATTATGAGAATTGGTGGATGGAAAGAAAAATTGTTATCCGCTGGAGGAAAGGAAATTTTGCTCAAATCTATTGTACAATCTATCGCAACCTATGCCATGTCCGTCTTTGAAATTCCTTAAAAATTGCAAAGGAATTATTGATGCGATGTCACAATTTTGGTGGGATGACGAGGACAATCAGAAGAGGATGCATTGGATGGCGTGGTGAAAGATGTGTGTCCCAAAAAACCAGGGAGGTATGGGTGAGGGAGTTCTGGATTTGGGGGTTCTCAGGTGTCCAGCCTATTCGATATGGGCGGGCTGATGGGTCGTGAAGATAAAACAAAAGACTATCCCCCGTATCCGGGTGGGACTCCTGTATGCGTGGACGGCAAGTTTGGTGTCCGCGTGTATTATTTCCTTCTTCTACGCACCGAATCTGTACAACCCTAGGCCCCTCCAGTGTATATAAACCGTGGGGTTTAGTCCATAGAGGCTATCAGAATAATCATAGGCTAGACAGCTAGGGTTTAGCCATTGCGGTCTCGAGGTAGATCAACTCTTGTAACCCCTATACTCGTCGAATACAATCAAGCAGGACGTAGGGTTTTACCTCCTTTAAGAGGGCCTAACCCGGGTAAACATCGCGTCTCTACTGTTCCCTATTACCATTGATCCTTAGACTCACAGCTTGCCCCCTACCCGAGATCTGCCAGTTTTGACACCGACATTGGTGCTTTCATTGAGAGCTCCGCTGTGTAGTCACGAAAAGCGATCTATGGCTCGCCTTGTCATCAACAACGATATCACTTCTGGAAGGAGCCTGACTTTGGGACAAGTCCTCCAGCTCGGCGGTTTCACCATGGGTGCCCACACGCCATCGAGCCGACGACGCCCCCCGCGATCGCTAAACATCTCCTCCGCATCGTTCTGGAACACTCCGAAAAGATGGATCCGGTGGACATCTTGTCTTTAAACGAGCTGCTAGATCGCATCGCCTCCCTGGGGCTTTCAACGGATTATGATCGGATCGGGCTCAAACCTGACCAGAGGGAAATCAATTCCCCGCCGATCACTCACCCGGTGGCGGTCGTCGAGGAACGAGCCGAAAACACTTCTTCCCCCAAGTTAAAAACCATCTACATTCGGATATCCGAACCCATTGAACCGGATACTCTCCCTTTGGATGAGACTCCGCCTCCCCCGAACTCAGGGTCGGACTTAGGGTCCGGGGAGCGTTTGGATCCCCCGGACCCGAACCAGTGACCTCGAAGATTTTAC